CTTTGAGGAAGTTCAGCCAAATAGAGAAGTGATCTGTGAATTCTCTATAACAATGTCTATTAGGGCATAAAAGGATATATGCAACTGTTGCCACACTTGTTGAAAGCACAGATGTCAATGCTGTTTCTGTTTTGTTACGACTGGAGGTGGAAACACTGGAAGCAGACCTTCCTTTTTTCATCAGTGCTGTCCTTGTTTTCTTGCTTAGACTGGACGTCCTGTTAAAGCTCTTCCTGAAGCATTCCATGTTTTTATGCATGTCCAGGGATGTGTGGGTCAGATCATGAGTCATGCAAGACAGCGCAATGTTCCGATTGTCGTAGATGGGGTAATGAGCTATTGCTATGTATCATCAACTTTTGGAATCGCTCTTCATGGATCTATTTCTGCTATCTAATTTCTTAAGATGGCCTTTGACCTTCTGAGCTGATTCTATGCTGTTATGACAGGATGGGCTCTTTCTTATTACAGACAACCCTGATCTTGTTATTGGTTACCACCTAGCTGTCTTAACTCCGAATATCAATGAATATAAGCGCCTGGTCAAAAAAGTACTCAATTGTGAAGTAAAGGATCAAGATGCTCATCAGGAATTGCAATTGCTTGCTAAACGGTAAGCTTTTCTGCAGAGTTTGTCTGCTTTTATTGGAGGTTTCTGGGAGCTTAGCTAATGTCTTAGTATGTAATGTTCATTATATTCCAATTTTGTGGTGTTACATGCTTAGACATATTCATATTCATTGTTTGTTGGCAATGCATTCACCTAAGTATCAGAGTGGCTAAAAAATTGATGTAGATATATATCTGTTGGTCTCGTCCAAAATTGCGTAAAATTCCCCTTACACAACAACCTTTGTTCATTCTACCCATTTCGACCTTTTCAAGGAAAGTCTTTTGAAATTTTGAAAACAAAATTTTATGTAGGCACATTTTAGTTGTGAGGAAATTAACTAATATATGTAGTAATCTCTTTATATATGACGCAGTGATACTGACATGTTGTGGTTGTTCTGCTGGGTTTGTGCCATTCACTGTAGATCGTGGAAATTTCAAATATTTTGATGATTGTATTTCAAAATTTGCTTATGTTCTGAAAAATGAACTAATATTAGTGTTTATTCTTTCAGGATAGGCGGTGTTACTATCATGCGAAAGGGGAATTCTGATCTGATAAGTGATGGTGACATAGGTATAGGATGAACCATATGCCATAATCCTTCTTGGTGTAATATTTTGCAGTCTTTTGGATGCATTATAGATCCTCCGTTAATAGTGCTTTCAATGCAGTAAGAAATGCTAGATTGTTTATTCATTGGGTATGCTCTCTCTGGACCCTAGGTGCAACATATCTATGCCTTGAATTGATTAAAGCCATCCAAAATTTCCGAAATTTTTTTGATATGATCTAGCCCTTTTCTGGAACTCAACAAATAAAGGGTGCTTTTGGTAGCCTGGTATCTAGAACTTGTTCATGCATTCCTGGAATAACAAGGAATCCTGTTTTCTCACTTGAAATTGGGTATCTGTATCCCTCCCTTTCCTGCTAGGATCGGAAATCCTGTACTTTACATGCCATAAGTTCTTAACGACTGGTGTATCCTTGCTAATATGCTGCATATCGTGAAAGCAGATAAGCTAGCTACAAGTCGTACCTTTTTCTTCCCCTCTTTTTGTAGGAAGTGCAAGTTGTTGATGTGCTCGACTAAATGATATATGATTGTTTTAGAGGATTTAAAATTTGAATGTACCTTGCCTAGTTTGATCTGCCGTTACACCTGAAACCTTTAACTTAAAGAATTGAAAACATATCATTATTGTTGTGAAAGCTTCGAAATTGAGTGTGATCTTATCACCTAGAGCTTCTAATCTCAATTACAAAATGAAGTGTACATCTCAAGTTATGGAAATTTTAAAATTCTAAGCAGTAAGCAGTAACTTTTGTTTCTTCTCTAGCATGTATTTTAATTTTGTTTGGCCAAGGTTTATGATATCCCTTGTTGGTCTTTGCAGTTAAATCAGTGAGCCAGTATGGTTCACCTCGACGCTGTGGTGGCCAGGGTGATATACTCTCTGGAAGGTGCACAATCTCTCACTTCAGTAACTTCTTATTTGAAGAATACACTGTGGTCCCAAGTTATTTCTGTTACCTCGTCCACATCATGTTCCCTTATCTATAGATACAATATCAACTATTCATTGGGATTCAACTTTTTCCGCCAAGAGTGAGGACTAAATACTTATTGTGGATCGATGATTTCCAAATACTTGTAATGTTGTCAGTGTTGCAGTATTCGTATCTTGGGCTCGTCAACATAGTTCAGCCGCCGGAGTAGATTCAACCAGGTATTTAGCAGTCTTACTTGCAGATTTCATTTCCGATAATCGAAATCTCATTCTAAATATTCTCTTTGAATACTGGTCTCTTGTAGCCAAATGAATCCAACTGTGATGGGGTGCATGGCGGGATCTGTTTTGTTGAGGAAGGCCGCATCACTCGCTTTCGCAAGCAAGAGAAGGTCCACTCTTACCAGCGATATCATTGAGCTATTGGGAAGAAGGTAGGGATTGACTCCTCGATTTGAGCTTTTAACTGCAGCAAAATAAACAGAGTTTTTAAACGGAAACTTCCATTCTCGCAGTTTGGAGGAAATTTCACCAGCATGTTGATTGCGACAATAACGGAGTTGCAGTGGTGATGGCCTTCTCAAATATGTCTCGCTGCGCCTCTTGGTGCCTCTGCTCTTACAAGTACAGTTTTTTGTGTGTGCCCTTTCTTTTCCTGTTCATTTTCCTAGAGTACTCCAATCTTCTTGCGGTGTATCTACATTTTCAAATGATCCCTTTTTGGGTAGAATAATGTCTATATGAGTTCCGTGTTTGTGCACTATTTGGCTGGAGAACCATCTTGCTTCTTAAAACCACTGAATGCCTCAGTTTAAGCGGATAATTTGATTGCCTTTCCACTGCTACTTGTTATTGTTGACACTAGTATTGCCTTTTATTGCGCGCGTTGGATAATCCTTCACTCCCATCATCCAAGGGTCACCATTTTGTTAGCACATTTTTGTTTTTGGCTGTTTACAGTATTATTTTGCGAAAATGGCACAAATGGTCATTGAACTTCGTCCCAATGTGTAATGTGGTTCCTGAATTTTTAATTTGTTCAATGTAGTTCCAGAAGTTTAGCCCAATGTGCAATATAGTCCCTCAACTTTTAATTTGTTCAATGTAGTCCTTGAACTTTTGGTATATGTTCAATTTAGTCCCTAGATTATATGAAAATGTTCAATATTTTCCAAAGCGCACATTGAACAAATTAAAAGTTTGGGAATCACATTGCATATCAGGCCAAAGTTCAGAGATCATTTGTGTCATCATCCCTATCATTTTTTATGTTCAGGTAAAAAATTATCTGATCCAAATTGATCCATTTAACCCGTTTTGACTCATTTCTATACAATACAAATTTAGCGATTCGTACCCGATCCGACTCGTGTTATTGATACAAATCAAATTTAGGAAAACTCATACACAAATTAAGGTGGGAGCATGAGATTGAGTGGGTTTAACACCCATATTATTTTGGACTTTACCATTCTAAACTTATTTATGATCTATTTACTGTATATAACTAACCCATATAATAACTCAGCCTATCAAATATGGGTTAAGAAATGAGTTTATGATCAATTTTGACATTTCTATAGATCACCGAGCATAATACACTCCATACAAATTTAGCTTCACTCGTTAAATGGTTGAGAATCTTGAAATGTAGAAAAAGACATGCTGGGGAAACAAATGTAAATTCTTGTAATGTTGAGGATGTTAAGAAAAAGAAAAGGGACAGTAAGTTTTCATAATACACTCCATACAAATTTGACACCCAATTTGCCACTCAAGTGACAGTCAATTTTCGATCATTTGAGATTTATCGTTTCATTGCCATTGAAGAACTCGATTTCACCTCTGAATTCGTCACTATTTATCCTGCTCCCCCACGTAGACCTCGGCAACTACACTTAGTCTTAGGGTGCGTTTGTTTCATGAAAAATTTAAGATTTGAAAAATATTTTTCAAAAAATGATTGGTTATATCGCTTACAAAAATGAATAAATAAAAATTAATTTTCATCATCCACGGAAATAGTTAGGTATAACTTGATGTTGATAATGAAAATGATTTCGATTCATTAATTTTTTTAAGCGATATAATTAATCATTTTTCAGAAAATATTTTTCAAATCTCGAGTATTCTGTGAAATAAAAGCATGCATCTTCTCGCATCCATCTTGATCTCATTGTGGTGGTCTATCATAGTGTCTCTCTCTGTTTCTGGTTGGCAATGAGTACACTTACTAGGACAAGACGGGGAATGGATAAGATGGAACTAGGATTTCAATACCATTCAGAGAAGCTTATGAAAAGTGAATGCACCACGAGTTTGGTAGAGCAGAAGAAGCCTCTTATTGTTGCAGCAATCCATGCAGCACATAGTGAAGAAAAAGAGGGCATGGACTCCCCAGAACATCAGCTATATTTTAGACATCTTTTGTAAACCTTCTCACTGAGCCTCTACTCTAATGCCGAAGAAGTAATGGCTAAGAAAGAACATGCTCGTACCCCGAATTGTTATGGATAAGATAGTGAACCTGCAAAAGTGAAAAGTAGAAATAGAGGAACAAGCAAGCAATCAAGCAATACGGCAGACCAACCAGAAAACGACAGTAGAATCTCACTTCAATACAATACAGGTGAGAGAGGACCCGGGCATGGATCGACTGCAATTGAGCAAATTGTGCATCAAGCAAAGAGAGACAGGGACTGAGCTCAGCCTCGCTCGATCGAAGCAATCAAAGCATGAGCTAGAGAGAGATTGAAGGCGTGAATGAATTGAATCGTGCGATTGGCTTCAGTTGATGGAGGAAATAGGATAAACGGTCGGTACAAACCAAACAAAAGGTACAAAATCTCATCAACTTTGTCTACCCAAATGAAACATTGACATAAAATTCTTTGCTACATTGATTGACCACACAGTTTCAAAAATTGCATGACTCGTTCTTTGATCTCTCCATTGAATTGTCATATAGGAAAAACAAGTCTGTCCACGAAAATCCAATCAATTGCAAGTCTCGACTCTTCACCAAAAAACCAAAAACCAAGACATCCTTTTGTATCCCTCTGAGTAAAAGGACTACAGTAACACTAAAACACACTATTAGTGGCTCAGAGGCATTATCTGTAATCCTCGGGCAGGTGATATCCTGTCATGACTATCTTGTCTGCAAACATCTTGCCGGTCTTGGGCATGACATGCCAATGCAAAGTCAAGTTGAATTCTTTGCCCCGTAAATTGCTTCCCTGAAAGTGGAGGAAAGGAAACCATTATCACGGGGAAGACATTGCATGACTTAGAAATAAAACATCTTTTCATTTCTTTCTTTTCATCCACAAACAAGCAAGCTCCTAAAACATTAAAATTTTTTCAATAATTAAGGTCTTAAAAGTATATAGATGATCAAGATGCAGATCAGTATCTTGCAGTTACTTCCTCCACACGTGTCTGCGACACATAATAATAACAAGCTTCAAACATAAGTTTCAAATAGCACTCTTTAGGAAATTATGCGCAATGATGAGAACCCAGAAGCCCTATTTCTGTATTGGCCATGGCCATTAACAGGGAAGAAAAGGCAAAGCAGAGAAGAGTAACGATTCACCTGATCAGTAAGTCGGTACTTGTTGGTTGTGTGAATAGAGAACTTCGCATGTTCTTTAGATGGTATGATTGCGTCCCAAAGTGAGATCTGTTAAGCAGTAAAAGCAGCAACTTTTACTCTGATTTCTCAAAGACGCAAGTTCAGTGAAGCCAAACGTCAATAAATCATCTAGATTACACAGTATTTTCAACCTAACAAGCATCATATGTGATGAAGATTATCTTTCTTAAGCTACAAAAGTCTTGCATTGCAGGTTAAGATGAGTAATGGAGAGCGATCCATGGGAAAGTTGGATTTCTTGACAGAAAGAGGCATCATGATCTCCTAACATGTTTCAGTGGCAGATTGCAGAACCGTTGACGCTATGACACCCAAACAGCCGGTACACTCGGCTTATTTAATAGCTGTCGCAAGCACAAAACCACAAAAAAAAGCATCCATTTGATACAGACTGACAACAATTTCCTAAGATTTAACCCATCGAGTCCTGCAATCAAGATCGCTATCATGTTTGACTGTCGAAATAACTTCCTCTAGATCTCCTTTTCAAACTAGTTTAGAATGATGAACAACATATGAGGTCGGGAAGGAGACTGACGTAAGCATGACCAGTACTTCGAAATATCAAGACTAGTCTAGTCAAGCCGAACTTCAACTTTTAATATATTGTTTCATCCTACATCTGCAGAGTACCACCAAATTGCCCACAAAAATAAAAAAAACTCAAATTACAATACCCATTATGAAGTGGTAATGTACTCTATCTCCTATTGGCCACTATGATATCAGATGATGCAAAAGTCTATGACAACCAGTTGCCTTTAAGCGGATGAAAAGAGAACTGCAAAATCACCACCAGACACTGATAACGTGGCAGGAAAAACATGTCTAGTAGAAGCATTTTAAAATCCAAGTCTTGCGAATTCATCCCATGAAAGAGGCATGAGAGCCAAGATCTGTATTTTTCCACCATAAAGAATACAATGTGCAGTACGAGTGCCAACATAAAGAATACAACATGTGGACATCTAGAAAAAGACTGAACATATAATATCACACCAACCTGATTTAGAGAATTTTGAGTTGTTTCATACTCAGCTGCTAGGAAGACAAATACCTGCAATTTTTTCCATGAACAATTAAACAATAGTAAATAATGACTTAATGACCTAGAATAAGAGAGTCTCAGTTTTCCATTTCTTGGCCCAACTAGATGGAACGAGCAATCATCAAGTATCTAACTGACAAATAATTTGAGAACCAACAGAGCAAGGTTGTCAGGATTGGGATCCTAGGGAGGATCATTGGGAGGTCGTTAAGGATTGGATCGTAAATTCGGATCAAGGATTGTAACATCCCACATATTATCAAATTATTCCCTACATATTGAAATTTCAACTTTGATTTGCTCAAATATATGCATATTAACAATTTAGGAAGAGGTAAGAGGCTATATACTTGCATTCCCAGTATTAAACTCCAACTCATTTTTCTCCTTGATAAGTAAAATGAAAATTTCCTTGATGTACCAAAGCAAATCAACCCATTTACAAAGTGAAGTTTATAGCACAAAAAGGAGCCAATTTCCAAAGAGGGGTGAACCCAACTCAGTAAGAAAGGATGACCCAAAAAAAAATACAAGATATTGAATTAGTCGAATTCCTAACCCATTCCATATAATGCTCCTCATATAAAGCATCAAAATGTAAAAGAAAGTACACGAGCAGTTTAATGTTGTAATGATGCCTATTCCACAGCAAAGACGTAACAACCAGAAGCTAACTCACACATTAACATTGTTGCACCACAAAAAGATAAAAATGAACACTCAACTGCATTGCAGTTTCAAAACACGAAAGGTCAAATCCTGAAAGTTGTCAAAGGATCCCGCAGTAGTCTACTCTAAAAGGAGGTCAAAATATTTCCTCTTTTCGCAAAAACACACTGTCATCTGCACAAACATAAAGCGAGTGAAGGCTTCAGCTGCTTAACCTGTTTTGTGTTCCACGTAAATGCCGACTGCAAGTCAGCCGAGATGTTCAATGTCAAGCTAACCTGCAGGATCCAAAAGAAAGGTACCCACTCAAAAAGAGAGATCTAAGAAAACTACAGACATAACAATTGAGCAGATTCAAACAAAATACGTTTTCTGATTGTGCATTATAAAAAACTGCATTGCATTATACAGGACGAAGTCAGGACCAACTATAGCTTTAAGAAGCAGAACATACACTCGCACGTCGAAATTCCAATAAGCAACACAAACAGGCGTTGAAAATCGTCTTTCATTTCATTCTATGTGATTGGAGAGGAACCAACAATTACAAAATCCAAGACAAAATTCACACTCTTAGGGTTTGGTAAATCGGCCAAAACCATCCACAACAACACCGAAAATTGATACCCCGAATTCCAACAAGACAAACCCAAGAACACAGATCAACCAAGAGGTCGAAAAACGGGCGAAAGGTAGAAAATTTACCTCATCGTTCCCATTACGTTGTTTCTGAAACCAATTGACATTGAGCACCTAATCAGAGCAAGAAACCCATCATACTCAACTGCCCAATTTCGAAACTCAAGCAAAGGAACACGAAAACCAGGGCGAGTGCGCGTTAGGCGACGGTACCTCAACACGGGCCGAGGGAGAGGGAAGGTTGAAATTGTCGGAGAAAGAAGCCATGGCGCACATCAGTGCCAAGATGGTGACTCCCAGAGTCAACAGAGCGTTCGCTCTGTACCCAAATGTGTGCATCCTCTCTCTCTCTCTCTCTCTCTCTCTCTCTCTCGCGATCTGTCGCAGTCTCGATCGAAAGATTTCGAGCAAAGCTCGGGTTTTTACTCCGAGGAGCAACGTGCGAGGGCAATGGAAAGGCGTTTACATAGGGCGAATCGAGAGGATCAGAATGTAAAAATGCTGAAAAGATGTCCAAACGGCAAGTTGACCAAAGAGACCTCCGTTTCCCGTCCTGTGGGCGGCTCCAACCGAGCAGTCTTGTTTGTTTGATTTTTTCTTTGTTTTGGATTGCAAAAGGGTGAACATTTTTTCACCCCTGTATAACTAAATGGGATAATTATACAAATGATTATTGAACTTTGACATAGTATGCAATGTCATTCCTGAACTTTTAATTTGTTCAATAGGGTCATTGAATTTTAATCCAATGTGTAATGTCGTCACTAATCTTTTAATTTGTTTAATATAGTCCATGAACTTTTGGTAAATATTTAATTTAATTATTGGATTATTAAATAATCCAGAGACTAAATTGAACATGTGCCAAAATTTCAGTGACCATATCGAACAACTTGAAAGTTTAGGGACGGTATTGCACATTGGCTAAAGTTTATGAATTACATTGAATAAACTAAAAGTTTATGGACGATATTGTGCATTAGATTAAAGTTCAAGGACCATTTTGTGTCATTTTCCCTAACAAATCTACCCAATTTTCATCAAAAAGACAAAATTGCCATCAATAATTCAATTGCAATTTAAGTGGTAGCCCCAAAGTTATTAACTTTCCTTTTCTCAATTTTTCTATTACAATGTAGGATCTAGTTACCATAATTAAGAATTTCACGTGTTTAGTTTTTCTTTATTGGGCCTAATACCTTAAAAAACCTCTAACTTTAACTTTTGTCCCAATTTTACCTTTTGTCTTATAAAAAACCTTCAACTTTAGGTCAAGTCCCAATTCTACCATAAACTTTTTTTTGTCCTATGAAAAACCCCTAACTTTACGTCTTGTCCCAATTTTACCCTAAAATTTTTAGAGTCTCATAAAAAATCACAAACTTTTACTTGAGCCACAAATCTGCCCCTATTAACCCTCCATCCAAAATTTCTCGTTGATAACCGAGAGATGGAAAACTCCCAAGTACGAGCTATATAAACATCCTGAGCGTGAGCTCTCCGACTATGAGAGATGGAAAATTCCCAAGCATGAGAGATCGACGAACGCAAAATCACTAAGGACGATTTTGATAGAGGGTTAATGGAGAGTAGATTTGGGACTCAAGTAAAAGCTGGTGATTTTTTATGAGACAAAAAAAATTAGAGTGAAATTGAATCTGGACCTAAAGTTAGGGTTTTTTTATGAGACAAAAAAAAAGTTTAGGGTATAATTATTGTTGGACCAAAAGTTGAGGGTTTTTTATGAGATAAAAAACGTTTAGGGTAGAATTGGGATATGACATAAAATTGAAGGTTTTTTATGAGATAAAAAGTAAAATTGTGACAAGAGCTAAAGTTAGAGGTTTTTTAGGGCATTAGGCCTTCTTTATTGTAGGTATCCAGGCATTGTGTTATTTTTATTGTTAGATTTTACTTCCATAAAAATTAGTTTTGTGGAAAAAATAAATTTTCAAGAAACCTAGTTCTTTTCTAAGTTGTTGAGCGAATTTAAGGATAAATTGTTAAGTAAAATCAAGAATTTTTTTTTATATAGACAAATTTTTCACATAATTAATTGTTTTTAAATTTTTACTTTTGTTGTGCATATCACCATCAATCCAGACACCCGAGGATATGAGGATTTATATAAAGAAAAGATCTTAATGTAAAAGAGATCTAATCAAAACGTTTACATTTATGATTTATCGTAGGTATATCTTGAAAACATCTATGTTTGTGATTTAAAGAAAAGAGATAAGAAAATCAAAGTCTATTAAGGGAAGATAAAAATTAAGTTCTAAAATGAAAGCAACGTATTCTAGAATGACGATGCATTTATAAATAACACAAAGAAATATAAACAGTCACATTGTAATTCATCAACGTAGAAAGGATTTATGAACTTGAACGATAAAGAAAGCGGAAACAATATAAAAAATAATTATAAACAAAATAAAACAGAAAGTAAAAATCATTTACAAGGGTTGTAGTCTGCACTCAAGTGTGGTATGAACTCATATTTAAATGGAGTAGTATTTTTTATAAAAAAAGTAAAGCCATCCGCAAGGGCGGTAATCCGCACTCATCAAGGGAGGTATAACTTGATAGGATAAATTGATAAGAAAGATTACAACATATGGAAAGTTACATTGATATATGAAAACTAACACAGTAATTGGGATACAAATTCATAACGGAAAGGTTGCAAGATGTAGAGAGGAAAGATGAGAGAGAGAGAGCTTCTAAAATTGGGTGAAGAAAGGTCGTGCCTTCTTTGTGAAAGACAACCTCCTTTTATAGACCATGAGTGGTAGTACATAGTCACATGTGAGTTGTAGTACATAGTAATTGGATGGTGAATAGTGATTGGTCTGCCATGATAAGACATTGAGTGAATAGTAATTTATCTGTCATGATTGGATATTAGAGGTTTGTCCACCATCTACAGTATTATTCCGTGCTACTGCGGTCCAGGCGAGTGATCTTCTATTGCTGATTTTATTCTTCATTGTTTGACCAAGTTGACACCATAGCAATCATCTTCGTTGGTATCTCCACTGTGATGTGATTGGGTCGAGTTGCCATTTGATTCTTCAAATTCTGATATAATTTGCTTCATTATAGCAACAGATTCATTTGGTGATTGAACGGCTGCAAGTTGAGCTGCTGCCAATGATTTTTGCTGAAGAAAAGATGTATGAGTAATAAATTGCAGGGGTGGCGTAGTTTGAGCATTTTTGTGATTGAGCCAGTCTAAGACTGAGTTTTTCTGATGTTGATGGAGGAAATTAAAATTATCCCATCATTTGGTTTTGAATTTTCTTACTAAATTTGGGATATTGGGTCTATTAAAGGGGCATCGTATCCTAGTTCCCAGGCTAATATTCATGAGAATCGGAAGTCAATGAAAAAATGGGCTAGGACTGAAAATCGAGATACATATAAATTGGGGATGAACTTAAATTCGAAGAGCCTGTAACTCTTTTTGACCTGTGTGGGTAAGATTTCAATAACAGGGCTAATATGATCCCACCATTGGTTACACTAGTTGGGGAGCTGGTCAACCTTAAAATCTATTTTGAAGTAAAAGAACCATGAATGGTGGTGATTGTTGTTTTGGCGATAGAATGTATTACGCTAGGCTTGTTGGCAATCCCAATATGTGAAAGTAGGGAGGTAAGGTAATGTAGAGGTTAAGCTGGCTTGGAATTTTAAGGAGCTACTAGGTGAAGAACTCCATCTGGCTGGGTGAATGATCTGTGATATGGTTGCTGTAGAAAGCGTGATATGGGTCGGATCATGGGTCAAAAAAATGTTTGAATGACACTGATTTTGTTTAAGCTAGAATCTGTTCATAATAAGCCAAAGGTTTTAACAGATCATGTGGTTTGTACCTCCAATCCTCAAGAAAATATATTTTTGCAAATTTTATTGGTTCTTTGTGGTAAGATCCATCTAGAACTGTAACTCTATTTTGGAAGACACTTTTAGTGATAAATTTTGATTTTTGAGTTGAAGAGATTGCCCATGGCATAATAACCACTTAACTCGAAATCCTTTTTAAGTACTTACCTGAAGAGATAAATGGTGATGGATTTAGACTTATGTCAATTGATTGTGATGTAGCTTCTTATTTTGGGGTTTTGTAGAGTATGGGCAATGAGTTTTAAGATTTCTTCTGAAAGTACTGATGCTAATTGTGATAGGGTGGTATAGAAGATGGTGTTGTCTTGGTGATAGAGGGCGATGGTTTTTCTTCGGCTATATCAGCCCATATTTTGACTGGTGTTTGAGTTTGTGATCTGATTTTGCTGGGTTTTGGTAACCGTGATGAAGTCTTGGCAGTGGTCTCACCTTTATCTTCTCGAGTTGGTTTTGGTGGCATGATGGAAGTGGAGATTATATACTCTATAAAAATTCTTTTGTGAGGAAATCTGGTAAATAATTTGGAGATCCATTTATGAATTCAATATCAAAATAAAAAACTGATAAAATTGCTTGCCATCTGGCGAAAATCTGTTTTGATGCAATGTTTAATACATCTTTTTGTAATACTTCTTAGGCTAATTTACAATCAATTCTCATGAGAAATTTTTTATTTAACAAATCCCCTTGGAATTTAGAAATTGATAAAACAATTGCTAATATCTCTATTTTTATTGTGGAGTAATTTTGTTGGGTTTGATTCCAATGTTTGTAAACAAATTGAATAATGTGGTCATTGTCATTTTTTGCTTGTTTTAGTATTCCACCATACTCTATTTCTGAAGCATCGGTTTTTACTATTTTGAAAGTAGATAGGTTTGCTAAGTGAAGACAAGGTATTTCTTTGACATGTGTTTTATTTACTTAACAATATTCGTACTTATTGGAGTCCTAGGTGGAGGGCTCTTTTGTAATCTTTGATGTAAAGGTTTACAAAGAATATTCATATTTGGGAAAAAATCTAGGATGTAATTAAGACTACAAAAGAATCTTTGTAATTAAGCTTTATCTCTAATTTCATCAGGGAATTTATCAGGAAATAAGATCGATTTTGTCCATGGGGATAATGGTACCTAGATGAATATAATGGCCTAAAAATTTGAGTCTTGTTTGGAAAAGTGAAATTTTGGTTGGAGGCACTACCAAACCATTTCCTTGATAATTTTTATAATGACAGAAATATGTTTAAAGTGTTGATCAATACTAGAGGAGAATATTAGGACATCATCTACATAGACTTTGATATATTCAGAATATTGGTTGAAGATATCATTCTCTAGAATCTAGAGGGAGCATTTTTGAGTCTAAAAGGAATAACATTCCATTCGTATCAACAAAGTGGGACTGTAAATGCTATTTTATATCTGTCTTTTTACTGATTTATACTAGCCGGAACCTTGACTTCATGTCAAATTTTGAGAATTTTTTTGAATTGTGAAGTCTATTTAATAGATCTTTTTTTTATTAGGAATTGGGTATCTTATCC